CCGGTGCTCCGCGCGCTCCCGCCAAGAAGCTGCCGGTGATGCTGGGGATGGCTCTCCTTCTGGGATGCTGGGGAGGAATGCACTAACCCCCCCCCAAGAGGTAACCGACTCTCGGGATGTGTAGGGTACCCCGGGAAGCGCTCTTGTCCGGGCAGGACGGTGCCCTCTTTGCCCTTGGCCACTCCGGGTTTTGTCCGTCCGTGAAACCCCGTGCTGCGCGTTGGCTCCCACAGGGCACAGCGGACCCTTTGCACCCCAAGCAGAGGGACGCGGGATGTTACCCGCCTGGGTCAGCACCAACACTGCCCAGGGGTGTTTGCCAGGCCAGAAAGAAGGGCTGGACGTCTCTCCTGCCCACCACTGCCAAACTGTCCCCTGCCGCCCGGCCGCTGCGTGGGGCTGGGGCTGGGGCCCAGCTGAGTGAGCATCGGGGGGGGACGTGTGTGAATGCTTCATCACTTGTGGCTCTGTGTGTGGCTGCACGAGAAATGAGGACGTAAGTTTGTTGCTTGTCCTCACTGCGCATATGTGCCCCGAGACCCATCAGGACAAGTGGTCCTCAATCTAATTTCCTGGCATTTCCAGCACCACGCCACCCAGCCGATACCCACAGGCTGCATACTCATGAAATAAGTAACAGCGGTGCTGCGCTTTCCTGTCTTGGCAGCCTCCGAGTTCCAGGCAGCTCTACCAGAAATGCATGAAGAGATGAGGAAGGACGTGTCTCATGAAGACAACTAGTCCCAGTCTCAGAAAATTGTACAGAGTTCCCAAAACCTCCCCAAATTACTGATCCACATTCCTCCAGAACGACAGAGTCCCACAGGGGAGAGGTCTCTCCCAAGCTTTGGGTGCACACGGGGACGCACCACTGTGGAAGCTGGCATTGATGGACAGTCTGACCTTGACAAGGTTACCCCAACTTCCCCGTCAGCTTGAGGCAGAGCAACTCCAACTCCTTTTGGACAAGGGACATTTCATACTTATTGAGCACCTAAAGCAATTAAAAGCATATCAAAGCTCTCAATGTGCCGGGAGCCCCCTGTAAACGGTGCTGGGCTCTGGCACAGAGCGGGCAGCCCTGACACGCTGAGGAGACGGCGAGGGCCAGCTCCTTTGTGGCCGCAGGGCCGGGCCGGCTGTGGCAGCGCTGTCGGGAGAACCAGCCCTGCTCCAGCAGAGGCAGCCACCCAGCCCGGGGGCCTCGGAGGGATCCCAAAGTCAGTCAGTGTTTCCAGCCCCTGCCCCGAGAGCCCCGGGTGCCCTGAGCATTGTTCTACTTGTCTGACCAAATTTTTCTGTTCCTTATGACTGTCACAAAACTGGGAAATGCCACCTACGTGCCCCCGAGCTCAACACCCGCGGGCAGGACGGGCCCCGGCTGCGCTATGCCATAGCAGCACTCACGAGAGTAACCCGTCTGCAGCCCTGGGTCAGCTCCTGGGAGCTCTGGGAGGGGGCACTATCCCTTGGTGCATTCTGGAGAGACGGAGGATGTGGTCGTGACATGGCTCACAGCAAACGCCCGGCCCCACAGTCCCCGAGCCCACGGCCACGCACAGCCTGTGCCAGCTTGTGCCACCCCTCCGGTCCCCCCTCCACAGCGGAGCTGATGCACCCTGGCTGCGAAGGGCCCTCATACAAAGCCAAACTTCTCTCTGCAGGGAATAGCCCAGGATCCCTCCACCGGGCTGGGGCTTGGGGGACAGGGAGCAGGACACCCCCCCGTCCCGCAGCCCTGGTCCCTGCCCTTCCCGCGGGGCTGCCCGGGACCCCATCCCAGATGCTGAAGTGCCTCTCCCCAACCCTGTGCCTCATCTCAGGGGCTCGATAAACATCTGTTGCCATAGAGACTTGCTCGGGCTGCCTTCCCCGCATCACCCAACGAGATGAAACAGGAGACGCGGGCTCCGCTCGGAAAAACAGGAAGAAAATGTTTGGCTTGAAACCGTGCTGGGGGTGGGGGTCAGGCCGGCAGCACGCAGCGCAAACAGCCCGGCACCAAACAAGGAGGAGGCTCCGAAAGGGGAGCCGCAAGGGCCAGCATGGCAAATGTTATTAAAAATAATATTAATAATAATAGTGCATAGCAACTTTCCCAGTGATCCTGCTGGCGACCTTGGGACTTCCCGCACAGGTCAGCACGACCGTGCCCATTTTACGGGCAGAGGCAGCCAGCCCGGTTGTGAAGCTGCTATCCCTGAGACCCCGGCAGTCAGAGCCCACAGACCTCACAAGCCAACCCTGCCAGGCCCTACATGCCCCGTGCCGGGCGTCCCTGGGGTGCGCAGCAGTTGGCTGCGGCAGGTACGGAGCAGGATGCTCGTAGGGCTGGTCCCAATCTGGTTCCCAGATCCACTCAGGCAAAGCAGAGTTTATAGTGACCAACCTCCTGATGTGAATCCTTACCTAACAGCTGATTTTTGCCTCATCTGTGAACGAGAATTTAGCTCCTGATTCAACAGGCAGTGTTTCAGTGAGATGGGGCTCTGTCAGAAAAATCTCCCGTGAGGCAGATACCATTCTGGCTGAAGACTGAACCCTGCGATATCCCTGCTAGGAAGATTTCCACTGCCCCTGAAATCACACAGTTTGCCATTAGACATATCCTGGAGCTGCTATTTTCCCTCGGAGCGGAGGGAAAGAAAAAAGAAAAGCATTGAACACGGCACTTCTTTAGTCCAACTGCATTTAAGGCACAGAGCATCTTCCCAACGGTGTGTCTCTCAGCACCGCAAGAACCGGGAGCATCCGAAGACCCGGCCCTGCTCCTCCCTCTGCCCCCAGACCCTCGCCCCTCGCCCCGGCCCAGCCGCTGCTGCCCTGGGCACCCTCGGGCAAAATCTCGCTTTGCCACCCGGCCCC